TAATGTATACTATATGCATTTCGAGCCTTCCATCGGTATTGATCAACGCAATCAGATGGTCAACGCAATCAGATGGTCAACGCAAGTGATGAAAATCTCATAGGACCTTGCTACATTTAGCAAATTCTTTCTTTAATGCCGTGTCATAATGTGTTTGATGGACGCCTGGAAATACAAAAGCTTCAGGTCGGCGGGTGTTAAAGACGTTCATTGCACCTACAACTTAGTGCCGATGCGATAATACCAGACGGTGCGTATCACTGCTTTTTCCCAGCCATTCCCCTGCTGTTCCAAACTCTTTCCTTTGCATTCCTCGCATTCGATCTTCCGATTCCGCACGCTTAACCATAACGCCTCCCTTCACTTCTCCGCCATTTACTTCCCTTGCCCACTATTTACCCCACTTCTCCGCCATTACCCCCCTTGCCCACTATGTACCTCCCCCCTTCTCCGCCGTTTCCCCCGCCCTTGTGCACCGATTTCCCCGCCCTTGTGCACCGTTTTCCCCGCCCTTGTGCACCGATTTCCCCGCCCTTGTGCACCGATTTCTCTCCCCTTGTGCACCGGTTTCCCACTTTTCTTTGCCGTCACCCTCTATTCATTGGTTTGCCTCGTACCTCCGGTGCCGCTCCGGTCTCCGTCGATCACGCGCTGGAAGCGTTCCCAACTGGACCTCGTCCGAGCCCACTAGCCCACGCCTCTACTCGCCCACTCGCGAGCGACCTCTCGCCAGGCGAGCGCCACTCGCCCTCGCCTCAACCCCCGAAACCTACGACACGTCCCAACTTTCTCAGAGAAATGTTACTTGCAAGGGCGTGGCCATTAGTTCGTCGTCGTCGTCGTCGTATACAACGTCTTGTCCAGCGAACGTAACATCCTAACTCTGGCGGGGCTATTCCTCCAAATATCCAAACGAAGGAATGAGAGAAGCGGGCAAATGGAAAGGGGGTGCAGTTGAGAGGGGGAGTACGGGGAGGGAGGGTACAAGGGGGAATTGGTTGTGTAACCGTGGGGAGGCGCCGGCGGGACGTGACAGTCTGTCACGCGTGACGCGGAGTGTCAGCGCAGGTTGAACCTCAGGGGATGTGTCATGCGGCGCATGTGCAATATCGTCGTCCTGCTGCGTACTCCGTATCGAATTAGTACCATCTGCTGGTACGAGTGAGCATGTAGTTGTTTTGGATAGTCTGGAAACTAGGCAAACCCACATGTGAATTAATCACTGATATTTCTCTAATACGGCACCTGTATTGTTCTTGATATAGCAACATTTGTTATCAGAAATGTTCATGCATTATTGTACCTTCTCCCTTAGTCGTAACTTCGTAACTTTCATTTCATACATTTGTAACTTATAGGAGAATATTTTGAGGTTCTAATGTGATTTTCTTGATTCTTCAAAACGTCTATGCTTCTGTCAGATTTGGAGCAATAAATTCATTTTCTCTGAAATACTGACCCACTCGTAAAACTCCTACACTCGTTTAACAAAATGAAGACTACAATTATGACGAAATGCATGTTTAGTCATGAATATTGGCTGATTAAGTACAAAAATTGATTTTTGCTGAACGTATAAAATCAATAGTAGGGATATCGTGTTCATTCATGCAGTATGCTGTTGTTTTTATGTCTATTTTGTAAGATTCTGAAAATGCTGGTTGTGTTATATTGAGCCCATGTTATCTTTAGCATACAAGCTGCGTCACACGTGCCTCTGAGTAAGCAGTTTGCCTACTAAAGTAGTCGCTAAACTGGCTGTGTGCACGCACAAATTAGATTTATAAATTGCCTGAGCACGCAAAGTAGCGTAGGATCAACCTAAGCACGACGTATGGCTTGTCATTAATGAAGATTCATGCATGCTAGGGGTAGGCGATATGCTTGCGAACATTTTGTGAAGGAAAACGTGATCTTATGTGTTAGGCAGAATGTTTCGCTATTTCAGCGCAGAGAATGTTCTTAGAAAAATACAACCAAGATTGAAAGCTCTGAAACGAATTTCTGAATATATTGTTTAGATAAAAGTTGACTTATCTGAAGGTAATGGACATTTTTTACTTTCATACCCCTGCCATGGAAAATAGAAATGTTACATTCCCAAATATTCAAACATCTAGACCTTATATTTAATATCACTGACAAAATTCCGTGCTTTTTTGTTTCAATTTTAAAATTCACTTAACTGACATAATTACTTCAATTGATCTGAATAATAGTTCATGTTAAGAAAATGAAGTTTTGCTCAGCAACCTAACATTTTGCAACTTTTGGCCACTTTTCAAATTGATATGTAATTACTGCGTAACATTATCCTGTACAATCCTTATAAAGAAGCCACTTGAATTTAAAAAAATACTGTTTGGTGGAAGTGTTTAAAAAATACTGGAAGTGTTTAAAAAATCATTTCCACATATTTTCTACATCACTACGCACTACTAATTTCTGTATCACTACTTTTAATTTTTTAAGTATGTGGATGGCAAATACAAAATTGGAAACACGGTAGTTAATGTAATGAAAGTAAACCTTTTATTTTCTTAATGTTGCCCACACTTTTAATGCTGTTTGACTTCATTCACAAGAAAGTTCATGGACTTTCTTTAACTATACCACACATTTTTATGTTATGTTATTTAAATAATAAGACTCAACATTTTAGTAATTAGTGAATTAGTAGTAGAATTAGTGAGTAGATCATATGCTTCACAGACTTCATTTCTAATGTTATTATTATTATTATTATTATTATTATTATTATTATTATTATTGTTATTACGGTAGTTGTCAGTTACCTTGTTGCATGATATCATTCCACATCATATATAATACCAACATTGATTATATTAAATATGGGTTTATTTGCATGCTTAAGGTTGGCATCGAATATCCTCAGTGTTATTTGCTTTGTAGTATTGATCAATTTGTGCGAGAAAGCGTTGCACTTGTTTGCACGTCAGCACTTTTTGCAAATAAAACGAATTATCGGGACAAACTGACATACTTTCTGATACTCAACAGAGGATAGGGAATATGGTAACAAAATGGAAACTTATCCTTTTCAATTTTTTGTCCCGTGTTTAATTTAAATTTCAACTTGTAATATTAATTTTGCATAAATCGTGTTGCAGTGTCGTTCACCAAACCTTTTGAAAAAACGAACATTTCAAAAACAGGTCAAAATACATAATTCACTTGTAATATTGTAAAGAGTAAAATATATATATATATATATATATATATATATATATATATATATATATATATATTGTTACCCGATGAATCACTTGTTTTATTCATTATCAAATAAAAATGTGCAAGGGGAACGTGAGAAATTTTGCTATTAACGGACGGCGTGTGGTAAAAAAGTTGGGGAATCCCTGATTTAAAGTGAATAACACTTTCAATCAAAAGAAACCGCAAAGGTTAAAGAAGCTATAACGGAGAAACACGGGCAATTCAGAGAAAACTGTTTGACGTGACCAGTTGTCACAGACGCTGTCTGGCGTGGAGAAGTCTTTGGCCGCGCAGTTCCGCTTTCGCGCGCAGTGTAGCGCGGCCTAGCGGATGCGCACAAAGCTTGTTAGGGCGCTCGGGTTTCAGCGGCTAAAAGTTGCGAGAGTCTCTTTCCAACTCCCGCAAATCTTGCGGAGACTCAAATCCATTTTCTTGCCTTTGTGCGCCGCGTTTTTTTTTTGCGAGTTCTCTCTGAATGTAAAGTCGTTGCGTTTCCCATTCTTCTTTGAGAGACGTGTATTTCGTTAGCCAGAAACAAAGAGGTTGGAGGATTCCCGTGTGACAGTTCTTCGGAATTCGAAGAGACCCGGATTCGCTTGAGGAGGATGAAATGGCTTTCTGAATTCAGTATGGGCGAATTCGTTTCTACTCGCAGTGTAAAGTTGAAAAATGCAAATTGAAAATTCCTTGGGGGGGGGGGGAGTAGTACTCATGAAATGCTTTAAGCCAAATACGAACACTTTTTATTACAGATTTGATGAGTATCAGATTATTTTGACTTTATTTCTTGCCCCAAGTGTTTTTTAATCACTTTAGATTTTTATTACTACAAATCTTTTGTCCTAAATGTGAGCAATCTAGAATAGAACCAGTTTTCATTTTGCATCATGAAAATGCGATTATTAGTATTATTATTATTATTATTATTATTATTATTATTATTATTATTATTATTATTATTATTATCAATATTGTTATTTTTCAATAAATGAACTACACACCTTTGCACATGCCATGTATTCGGTGAATGCTTGCTTCAATTATTAAGTGTGCTTTTTACGAAAGACAAATATTCGTTAAATCTAAATAACGTAATAAAAGAAACTTTGCGTTCGTGTTAAAAGCCGTCTCCTATTATATATTAAACAGCGTCATTCAAAATTTTATCTAGTGCACTTGGGAAATTTTCTAGCTAGCTTCAAATGCTATTTATTGCAATAATTTCAGTTACACAGCCACACATCATTGTAAACATTTATAAAGTCTTATATCAGATAATAAGTCAAATTATATTAAAAACAGTGATGGTCTGTGCCCTAAACTTTATGGGTTTAAAAAATAACTACAATAACTAAAAAAAATAACACAACCACCCCTAATAGGTGTGGGGGGAGGGGAGGTAGCAGGTTTCTGCAGGTAGATTTATACAACCTGGTGGCAGAACACTACAATTAATGTATTAGTTAGGAATAATGATACAATATAATTATTTTAATAGTAATTATCACAAAACTAATAATAAAAATTACAATTATATTTAAATTATAACTAAAATAATCACTATTTTAATAAGCTTAACTTACTAATTAAGGACCTTTGTAAAATTTATTAGTTAATCCACTTTTAAAACTTTGTTCACCTAGAGGAAGGGTTCCACGGCCGTCACAACCAACATATTTCAGTCCGTTATTGTTCTATTAGTGAAGTATCTGTTCTGTGTGGCCTGAACTGAAGAGTGCGGGCGCTGGCCGCGTGTGTTGCAGACTCGTGTCCGGCTGGCTACGAGCGCATGAAGTGCTCGTGCGCCGACGCGGCGGGCTCGTGCGCGTCCTACGAGCGCCTGCCCGCCGTCCCGTCCACGGGCTCCGGCTCCGCCTCCACCTCGGCCTCCACCTCGGCGTCCGTCCTCGACGACGGCTTCGCCTTCGAAGCCGCTCTCGGCTGCGCGCCGCGCGACGACCTCGACAAGCGACGCCTCCACGAGAAGGAGGTGAGCCACCGCCGCGAGCGCCGCCTCAGCCGCTCGCCGCATCGCCGCCCTGCCCACGCCCCGCCCCCCGCCCCCGCCCCCCGGCCCCCGCCGCCCCCGCCCTCGCCTCGCCCTCGCCGCTCGCCCGCCTTGCCCCAGCCCTCGCCCCCGCCTCGGCCCCGCCCTCGCCCGTCCCGCCCGCCCCCGCCCCCGCCTCGCCGCTCCGCCCTCGGCCCTCGCCCGCCGCCCTCGCTCGCCTCGCCCTCGCCCTCGCCCTCTCCCGCCCTCTCGCCTCGCCGTGCCCTCGGCCTCGCCCCGCCCCGCCCCGCCCTCGCCCGCCCCCCGACCCGCCCGCCCGCCCCGCCCCGCCCCGCCCCCGCCTCGCCCCCGCCTCGCCCTCGCCCTCGCCCTCGCCCTCGCCCTCCGCCCTCGCCTCGCCCTGCGCCCCGCCCTCGCCCTCCGCCCCCGCCCTCGCCCGCCCTCGCCCCGCCCTGCCGCCCCTCGCCCGCCCCGCCCCCGGCCCTCGCCCGCCCTTCGCCCCCTCCTGCCCCGCGACCACCTTATCCCCATGGCCGCTGTCGTGGCCCCTGCGTCCATCACCCTTACGCGTGAGGCGTCCTCGGATCGCCGCGTCCGGTCTCCTGTTCCCCTATCGCTGCCCGCCACACCAAATTCCCTTTATGCGAGCGATTCGATGGCGCCCCTATTATTGCGGGAGCCGGCTCGGCCCCAGCCCTCGTCCCCGCCCTCGTCCCGCCCTCGCCCCCTCTCGCCCCCACTCGCTTCCCTCCCCTCACCCTATTCCTCCGACATCGCCCCTCGCCCCCCGCCTGGCCTCGCCATTGACACCAGTACAGCCGGGGCTTTAGCCTCAGAACCGCGCTCCCACGTACCGGCTACTGCAACACCCCACCTGCGCCCACGTCCCCCAACCGCACCCCGTCCCATTTGGTCCCGCTGCCCCCCGCCACCCACCTACGCTCTGCCTCACCGCACCCAGCCACCTGGGCACCGCTCCCACCGTCACCCGCGACCTTTCAACACGCCCCATCCCATTTCCGCAATGTTTGTCCCACTGCCTGCATCGCCACCCGCCCTAACTTCTGCGGCACGACACCGTCCCTACCCCTGCCCCCCTCCCGCTTCCCTCGCCCCTCGAACTGCACCCGGCACTGCTTCCAATCTAAAAAAAATGTATTCTATAAATGTACTAAATCACAACTATGTTTATTTTCTCCTGGGAATCTCCAGTATCCCGTATTTGTTTTTTTTTTCGGCCTCGAACATTTGAAAGATTTTATCTTCAATTGCTTCCTATTTTCAATTCATATCAATTTTAAATTTTTCTTCGTTAGTTTTTGTAACTTCTACGTAAGCAGGGATAAAATTACGTCGGAACATGTGGAACTTATGTAGAACAAATCGATGTAGAATTTCTCGCTATTTTCATTTCTTCTTCTAATTCCACCCTTTCACCATCATCATTCAAATCGTTTCTGCATTGGCCATCTACCAAACCATCCATCTCCCGTGCGGCCGAAAAGGCTTAGGAACCGAGGATCATAATGCAGATTAATTACCTGCAAATCTCCACGTCTCCCCAGCTGCTCCCCTCTTATCCAGTTTACCCGACCAAAACACCCTTTCTGAATGCGAGGCAATATCAAGTAACGGTTCTCATGCGATCATTGACTTCCTAATCTGAAGGGATGCGCTGATCTCCCATCCACATACGATATTCCACATTGATGTTCGTGTAAAATAGCCGCCTCGGCTTGCTTGATGGGATGAGACAACGCTCGGTTCAGGGTACCCATTGAGTCGTTGTCGCCAGCCCACGTTGTAATATTTCAACAAAGATCACCTCTTCCCTTGACTCATCGCATCGCAAACGCCTCGTCACTCGTTGACCTAAATAAAATAGGCATCACCAGATGACTGAGCAATTCCAGCTCTCCGCCTGTAAGCCTCCTTTAAAATTTGTTTTCTCTCAATTCTGTTCGGTAGTGCTATGAGATACGGGTGATTAACGCAGGGCAGGAGGAAAAAAATTTAAGAGTTCCTTCAAAGAGCAGTTGGATAGATTTCGAAGTACACATTTAGAACGGCGCGTAGCTTAAAACTCGATCATGACTAAAAAGGCATCAACTTAATTATGCATTTTATTGTAACCTCAAAGCAGATATTTTATTTGGTAATTATATTTAGAAGAACGTATATCAGGAGGACTTTTACCCCTTCCCTACGCTAAGAAAATACCACTGAAAGTGGCACATCTCGTGCTCTTTGAAGTGCTGCGGAGCCACCAGGAGCCTGAGGCCATGCTTACATTCGTCAGCAAAACTGACCAATGAACCTTTCAGCTTTGCCAATCTGCCCTCGCGGCTGTTTATCTGTGCCAGGCAGACACGTTCGCAGTGTGAATGATGTACAGACCCCGTCTGAGTACTTCGTTATTCAGCCTTGAAATCCAACACTTGAGGTCGCATTCAGAATAGTTTGGCGACAGACGTTGAATATTAAAAATCTAAGCAATTATTCATAGAAAATGTGTAAATATCTCACTTACGCAATTTGCTAAATAACTTCGTATTCATTTTGGTGTGTTACTAAAATCTGTTCAATGATTATTCCAGCGGCAATTCAATTCTAGTAAATAAAACATTGATTTGTGAAGTTTACTAGCCCTTCTCGTAACTTGTTGTAACTGTAGGTGTATAAATGTTATGAAAAATCTCTGTTGACATTATTCACAACTTTGATAGAGGAAAAAGCAAATCGTTTTGTAGAGCCAGTCTTCTGATTTTATGTGGATCATTATATTTTTAGCGAATTATGTAAATAGTAATGCATAATCTTCTAACAATAGTAATACGTGTCATCAAACATTGGTGAAGGATACTTATGCATTCCAGTAACGACACCAAATAACTTTTGTAATAAGTGTATCGGCGAATGAAGCATTGCCTGGAGGGAAAGCCAACATCTTGTAACTTGCATTCCCTACTTAGCTCACATGATCGACAAGAACGTAGTTCGAGTTAAGAAGTTCGTACAATGACCCGACTCCATCCCCCAGGCTGCCAAACCTGCTGTCGGTGAGCCGCAGAAGAGATCATACCTTTCGAAATGCCGCACAGCCTGTAACACATCTGGGTTGCTGGGCCAACTGACAGGTGGAAATGGACGGCGCCAGGCGGCTGGACTCAGCGACCTCAACCTTCTCAGCTTTCCGCAGCGCCCTGCATTCCATCACCCGCGCTCCATCGGACCTCTCAGCCTGACACAGCGCTCAACGCCGAACACCTGCCGCACGCAGTGGAAGAGGCCTCAGGAACTAGTGAAGCAAGACAGATCCACGGGAAAGACACATGATCCCCGCCCCCAAACGTTAAAATTAATCGAAATTTTGTTGGCAGTAAATCAATATAGGCGTGGATTAAATTTAGATGATAGAACCGCCAGTATGAACGTGTTGAGCTGCTAAATTTTTGTTTGATATTGACGACTTTCTGTTGTATTTGTTATTGTTCTGAAGGTGCTTTTTCATTTTGGGCATTGGTAATTTACGCATTAGTACACCCCCATCAGAGCTGTATTGTTGGGGTTTTCGAATTTAGTGTCACTGCCAATGCCGACCAATAAGTTCCAAATTCGCCTTCATAGTGCGGCAGTACAAGTCACAATTATACGTATTTACCTGTTACTTACTTCTCGTAGTGGCTGTGTTAATAAGCAATCTCATTAGGAGGGAACTTTGCCGCCCATTCACCGTGGAACATCAACATGACAGACGACCGTGACACGGCTCACAAGTCATGAAAGGGATTTCCGCCTTCATAAAATTGCCCTAGCCGGGTTCGAACTCACAAACTGTGGTTTTGGAAGATGGCAAACCCCCACGCAATTGGAGTCGGCAATTCGTCTAATGTTATTAGCTTCGATCATGAGAAGGCCGACAGATAACTTTCTAAACTAAAAAAATTGTACAATAAGCCTCTGTAAATGAACCATTTCTCTTGAAAGCATTAGGAGCAAATTGTCTTACACATTAAATCGTTTCTCGTTAATCGTTTTTAATTGTAAAATATTTACAATTTCTTCACTTTTCAACTTTATACAGAGTAGATTATTACTTTTCTATCCTGTAAAATACTTGTAGTAACTTTTGACCCAGTGTTGCTTATTCTTCAAACTGTTTTTATTGTTTCTTTTGTTAATTCTTAACAATTTGTCCTAAATCGGCTGCTTTCGTTACTTTAGAAGCTTTTTGAAATTATTAATTGGCTAAACAACTCGTAAAGTTTCATTCCAGAAACCGTTCAGAACTTGCGTAAAAAGTAAAATGCATTTCTACAAATAGTGCTGAGTTGTTTTTTTCTGTTCATTCTGCGATGCGAATTCATTATCCAGTCATAAAAATCTTTCGCTGAAGAGTTGGTTTTTCGATTTGTTCTCAATAGGTCGCCCTGTATGTTTGTTTCTTCCATATTATTGTAAACAATTTAATTATAGAACTAGAATCACACTTTTAATTTCATAATTGTGAGAAATACGTGAGAAATCAGTTATGGACATTAGGACATCACCATTAAACTTGGTAGACACCATAGATGATACGGCACCATTCTCAAAACATGAGCAAGGTTCGGAAAGGCACAAATGTAGTTTCACAATGCTGTGGCACCACCTGTATTAACATGTGGTAGTAGAACCGTCACAAGGAAAACTGAACAAATTTACAAACTGTCGAAATGAGATTCTTTAGAAAGAGTGAATGCTGCACAATTCTAGAAGAAGTAAAGAAGTAAGATATACGGAATGAATTTAGAATATATTAAGTGAAGAACAATACCACGTAAAAATAACTTGAGACGACAGATGAACAGAATGACTGCCTCCAGATTACGGAGACAAAAGCTAATATATAAATCACAAGGAAAAGAGCAGTGAGCAAGCCTGAAGGAAAAGATGGCCCAAAGTGATAAGAAGCTGGAACTAGCGGAAAGAGTCAAGGGCGGAATAGGATCGTATCTATTTCTGGGAGAGGAAAGGAGTTCATTTCGCCCTCTCCCTCAAATATTTTGTATATAAGTTTTAATTGTTGAAACTTAAAATAAGAAATATGGAAGTACATTTCTAATGTGATTACTGTTGCGGATATTGTTCATGGGAATTACGTTTTAATAAATTAAACAAATAATGTTGACTTGAGGTGGGAGGGGCACATAGGCGTAGAACCTTGTCAGCCTCTGAAAGGTCGACACCTTGAAGTAAAAAGCAGAAGTCAGAAGAGAATGTCATGAATGGGGAAGAGGAGTAGAGTGGGCGGTAGCGGGTGGAGCAGAGGGCGGACGCCGCCCATCGAGCGGGCGATCCTCCGCGTGGCGGGGCGGAAGAGGGCAGCGGGGCGGGGGCGGGACCGCCCGCTTCCCATCCGCTGCTCCAGTTCCCGGAACCGCCGCCGCCGTCGCCGCCTTCGCCTTGCGCGCGCTGTCAGCGCCGGCCCCTCGCCGCCGCCGCCGCCGCCGGCCGCCGCCCCCGCGCAGCCGCGGAAGAGGAGAAGGCGAGGCGAATCTGGGCCAGATGGCGGAGCTCCGCGCGGCGCGGTG